CGCCTGCGTGCGCGGCACGGCTCTACTGCCCCGTGCGTGCTGCCCAGTGGAGGACGAGGGGCTGTGGGCCTACTGTGTGCGCAAGGCCGAACTGGGCGTGTAATCACAAATTCGCCGAACCCCAAACTCAACCCACTTATTCGGCTCAGTGAACACTTAAGCAAACTTGGAAAAAGCGTTATCTCAAAAATGTGTGTAATTCAAATTAAGGGTTGAGAGCCTAAGGCAAGAAGCCCCAATGAGCGCTGAACTTGGTGCTCGGGACGGTCGCTATAGGGTTCTCGACCACTGTAGCTGGAGTTCTAAACCAGGAATGCAGGGAAACAGTGAAACTCCACTACAATCACAGGCTGTTATAACGACTAAACTTTTTAAAAGCACAGGTTGAGGGAAAGATTCATTCAGGAGAGCAACAAGGGGGAAGTAAACTCGGCCACCGCAAGGCATGTCGCACTACAGTTCCCATCATGCAACGGGGGAAGGACGTTGAGACTCCAAAGCCTTAAAAACGAATCCTGCCCAGATGGCGCCCGCGAGACACTCTGGGATTTATAGTCCACTGTTCCGCGTGGAGCGCCGGAACTGCCACACGGTACTCTCCCCACCTTTTAAAGCCCAAGCACCTGATTTCACTTCCACAAAAGGCGCTTTTACTTATGAGGCGTTTTGTTATTTTCTCACACTTTACGTCGTTTTGTATATGGAATTTTGAGTGCACGGTGAAAACCTACAGTCTTATAGCCTCTTAATTTCTTCATTCAGCAAACATTTACGGAGTTTCTAGTTTCTGCTAGGTACCAGGTACTAATAGTCATCAGGGTTCCAAGACCTACTTTCAACGAGTTCACAGAATTTAAACTTTCTATCCATTTTAAACTTTCTATCCACTGGAGACCTTAACAGTGCAGTACATTTTCGGCAGAAAAATAGAGACAAGAGGTAAAAAAAGGAGTGGAGCGTAGAAGGGGTTGCAGAATAGTAAGCTACAACATGGAAGCCTAATATTAAGCTGTCTTAATATTAGGATCCACCCTTCGGCTGGGTGTATTTTTAGTTACATCCTAAATCAGCTACCTATAAAAAGTATTTTCATGTTTATCAGAGGCCAAAAATTTAATAATTTTTAGTTTTTAAAAGAGACTTTAGGGCTTAGGTCTTTTAAAAATGCTTTTTTTCCCAATAATCTCTTTAAAGGGATTTTGAAACAAATCTGGGGAAAAGATTAGATGTAAGAACTTATAATAGAAGAAAATTATATATGTGACTCGTGAATACAAAAGATCAGCTTTGCAAATGAAGAATGAAGTATTGAAATATTTTCAGAACTATTCAATTTCATTAAACACGTTGAATGCTAATTTATCTTGTTGAATTAGCACAGGTGGTTTCTATTATTCTAGCAAATAAACAATAAAGTTTAATAAAAATTAGTTTTTGTAATGATAAACTAAGCACATTTTATTAAAACGCTGTTAGGTTTCATAACTACCAATTTTCTATATTAGATCAGTAGCTAATATACTCCTTACAGGGTTGTAGTATCTCATCATATTATATTTACAGGGTTGTAATTTTCCTGAGGCTAGAACTGCTGACCAAAGCCATTTAATAGCTCAGTGGACTCTTGTAAAGGCAGAGCAAGATAGTCTCTCTGTTTGCTAGGTAGACTTGCTTGGACAACTGAATTTGACAAAAACTGATCTTTTTAAGATACTTTAAAAATCATTTTTCATGGGAGTAGCATAAGATTTTAGACTCCCTCTCGTCTACCTATCTTTTCATTGATAACGACATTTGATAATTTCATTTGCCACAGGGTTTGTTTGATGTATAGGCAAACGCAAAGGTAGATAAATGTTATACATTTGCCAAGTTGCCAGGTGACTCTCCCATTTGCAACAGGAAGTCTAAGAAAGCTTGACTGATTATGTGTTGTAGGGTTCTTCAACAGGAGCAAGAGGAGAGAGGGATTCAGGACTTTTGTATAGATTCTTTAGGGATAAAAACGATCTGTCTTCAGTTCTTTACAATTCAAAAATAAAAATAGATAAAATTGATATGGTTGTGAGCTGGGGATTTTAAAGTCAGACAAAGATCCACATTGTGTAAAAGTTACTCCTTTATTCATTAAAATTGTGTTGCTTAGGGTATTGTGATTTCCCTGACCAGCAGCATCAGCATCGATCATGGATAGGGCCCAGCAATGCTGTAACACACCCTCCGGGTGATTCTGATGCCTCCAAGCAAAGTTTGAGAACTATTGGCTTGCGGCAATTATGTACATTTAAATTGAGGACGTTGAAGCAATGTCTTTTTTCAAAGCACTTCAGAGCCAGTCCTTTTGTGTATGATTTAAGGTAATGTCTACAATATAATTTATGACAAAAGTGAATGTGTTTAACAAGTGTTAAATGTTAGATTTCATATAACCGGTTACAGAGAATAGCTGTTGTGTAGAGCATATCTAGGCTATTTCCCACCTAGAAAACGATCCGTTTTTTCAAACTAAAGTTAACAATATAAAAACTCTTAGAGTTCAAATGAATGCTAACAGGCAATCAGTTGCATCTTTATTTTAAACACTTTATTGTGGTAAAAATATATATAACACAATTTGCCATCTTAGCCATTCTGCGTGTACAATTCAGTAGCACTGACTTCCATCACAATGTCTTGCAATCTCAGTTACGTTTTAAAACCAGGAGAAATGTTTTCACCATGATTACCTATCATGAAATGTTCTCAGAACGTGCATCCACGGCCACCATTTCTAAATCTCGATCCCTGATGCAGCCGATCTGCAGTAAGGTGTGCGTTTGGAGCTGAGCTCACATTCATGGTCAGCTGGCTGCAGGGATCCCTGGGCTCTGTCCGACCCCTAGCCGAGAATGGAGCGCAGCTGCTCCGCGCCCCGGGGCGGCCTGCACGCGGTGCAGGGACGCGCAGGGCCAGCGAGGGGAGCTGCAGGGTAACTTCCCAGGGAAAGCGGCCGGTCGTCCCCGCTAAAAGCCTCCCTGCCTTTTGTTTGTTTTCCTGCCGGAGACTGGAGAGCAGCCGGGTTCCTGCTGCTCTACCATGCGCCGCGCGGCCCGTGCAACTCGCCAGACCTCTCGGGCGTCCCTGCACGGACGCCTCGGCCTCTCCTAGCAGGGATCGCCCCGACTCCCCATTCCCGAGCGGGCTGCTGCGCTCCACTCGCAGAGGAGCTGCGCTCACCGCAGGGGCGGGCCCCCGCCTATGTTCGCGGCGCCTGTAAGTGGGGTCAGGGATTTAGGGGCTTCTGCCGGGCGACCTGTCACTCGGGGAGATGGACTGGAGCTGCGGAAGGACCCTTGGCGGGTGGCCCCGTGAGAGATCGGAGGCGGAAGGAGGGGTTAATGAGCTGTAGTTTCTCTTCGCCGTAATGTGGGTCTCTCCCTCTTGGCATGAAAACTCCCGTTTCCTGAGTCTGGAAGATTTTGATGGGTGTTTACCTTTTAGTGTAAAAGAGGGCCAACGTTCGTGCCCGACGTGAAGCCCCTTTAGTAGGATGAGGAGGACTTGCCCTTGGAATTTTCATGATTAGGCCTTTGGCTGTCCTGCAAGGGTTCTGAGCGAGAATCCTCACGCATTTATGTGCAACCATTTTTCACTGGGTTTCTTTCTGTTCTGATTTCTTTCTTATCTGAGTACATGTTATGAGAGGGATGTTGAAGGGTTTTCCAGAGCAAGAGTTCCTTTTGTAATGCACCTTTTAAAGTTTGGCTTTGACACTAACATTGAGGGCTTTTATTTTAAATATAAAAGTACTTTAATGCATCATTCTGCAGAAAATAGTATTTATTTACCCTTATAACTAAATAGAGATCTGCTCTTGCTAAAGCTGGACTGTGCTGAGACAATATCATCCTGAATTTTGCATGCAGGGCTAGATTTCTGTAAAGTATTGGCAGTTGAGGTTTTTGTTTGTTTTATTTTGTTTTGTTTTTGGCCTGGAACATTCTTTGTAGCAGTAGAAGTTCAATAGCTACAGTTTTCACATTTCACATTTTACAATGAGTGGACTTTCTGGATGTGCCCCAATAGTGAATTGTACTATTGCTGGATTTAAAGTTAAAATGAGCTTTAAATTTGTGTAGTCAACATATAAATTATTAAGAAAAAGCTGTGTCTCAAGCATATGCTAGCTGTACTAGTAGTTAATGTACGCATAAATATGCACATTTGAAATAGTTTCTAAACAAAGCGCTGCGATTTAGTAAAGAATCTTTTAAGGCCTTCCTATCTATTTGAGGACCAGTAATTGTAAAACACTAGGAAGTGGTGTAGAAATGAGAACTGTGCTGGGATTCTTTATGTTAAATGGTATTCTGTACCACTGCCCCCGCCTTAAGATACAGCCCTCTACAGTGACCCTGCCCACTTTTTATTTCTCCCCTCTTTACTTTGCCTTCTTCCTCTTCCCCAAAGTCAACAGTGGCTGACTGGGAATGGTAAGCCACGTTTCTAAATAAGATTGGTTTTAGATGATGGAGGGATGTGTTGGAGGGTTGATGGAGCCTGTCTGAGTAGGCAGAAGTCTGTTTTTCTTGCCCAGGGAACTCAGCATTTTAGTCACAAAGAATCGGTTTTTCTCAGTGAAGTTTCCTTCCTACAGATTGTATGGAAATGAGCTACCAGGATAAGGAACAGGTTTTGGGGGTGGGGTGAGGGGGTATCAGTTGGCTGTTCAACATCATCAAAGCTCTTCTTATATTTTCATTATATATTTTATTCTCATTGCTTTTTGAGGTTACTAGTAAAGGTGGAAATCATGTCGATCTTGAACCTTTGAAATTATCTTTAACTTTTCTTTCATTTCCTTCTTCCTTTATATCAATGAATTGAGGCCTTTGAAGTGTGATGTGTATACATACCTCCCTCCATATTTTAATCGAGAACCTCACCCTTCCTCTCCTGCAGACTAGAGCAGGCTTTTAGCTAGCCTTCCAAGCCTGGATGTTATTAAGTCCTTAGTAAATGTTTGCTGAATGAATGAACAATGCTCCTTTTCCTGGAATCTTCTTCATTTCTTGTCAGTCTAATCTTTTTAAACTATCACTTCCTTATGTTTCTCCTTGCCTTGCCACCTTCAGTTCTTCATTCTCTGCTATTTAAGTCTAAATAAATTTGCCTGCTTTTTCAAGGCCTTTCATAATCAGGCCTCACTCCTCATGTCTAAATCCTGTTTTCAGGTCAGTATATGTCTTTGTGCTCTGTGCGGTTTGGTCTTTCTATCCTACCAAAGGAGCCAAGCTTGTTCTCACTGCACTGTCACTGCTCAGATTGCTTTCCCTAGAAACTCCCTCCCTTCTTTCCACTCTCCTGGGCAAATCTTACCCATATTCTAAGGAAAAGCCTAAGTCCTACTTCTTTCATAATGTCTTCTCTAACTACTCATTTCTCTTTTTTCCTTAAAGTCTTAACAATACTTGTTCATTAGCCCTTCATTATACTAGCTGTATTGATTTCTACTTGGTTTAGGCTATTTTGAGACTCTTTAGGGCAGGAGCTATATTTTATAAATGGTAATGTGGTATTGTGGGCTTTAGAGTCAGGCAGAATTGAGGTCAGGGCCTGACTCCGCTTATTACTCATGGGCCTTGTGGGATTTGCCTAGTATTAGTCTCTCACATGTAAACTAGGAGAAATGCCTCCCCCAGCTGATTGTGTTGTGAAGGTGGTCTAGCGCCTAAACAGTGGCTGTCATAAGCCTGACAAAAATCTCCTCTTCCCTTGACAATGATTCACAGCGTCCTGAACATGTAACAAATATTTGGTCGATGTTTATTGATTGATTTGTCATAGACCACCAAGTCATGGCTCAGCCTGAAGGCCCAGAGGATGGGCAATCTTGCAGTAAAGACTTAGTGTTACCCTGCCCTTACTTAAAATGGCTTGAGCTGAGGTTATATTGCTGGCTAGAACTCTGCTTCTGGGATCTGTTGCTGTTTTTCCATCTGAACCTTGCCAGGAACACTACTGACTTTTAAATTTTTTTTAAACTGCTTCTCATGGCAAGCTCTTCCATTTCATTTTGCTGAGTTGGAGTTTGACCTAGCCCTTCTATTTTTCTACTTGTGGGGTATGTATGAGTATATGTGTTTCTGACAGAACTACTTGTCTAGCACTTTCTTGGCAGAATTCTGGGTACAGTGACCTTTCTGTATATATTGATCTGTCAGCCTGTGAATAGTGTCTCACTTAATTTTAAAGTCTGTCATCAGTAGTCCTCGACAAACTTGGCATTCTGAAAAGGGCCTTTGACTGGAGTGGTATCAGAAATCTCTGTGGACTTCAGTGTTTGTGGTTGATGTGGTTGACCTGGAGAAAGCGTAAACAGAGGTATGTGCTGGACAGTTTACACACATATTGTTTGGGGGCGATGGTGTAACCATGTGCTAGGTTGTGGTGCTTACGTTTGAAACACAGTTTTAACTTCCTTATCGATATATATGTATCCTAGATAATTACCTTGTAAAAATAATTTAGTGAAGTAAATAATTTTCTGGGGCAAATTGCATTAAAATACTAAGATAGTGTTGTGGCGGAAAGAAATCAGAGATGCCTTTGCTTACAGCCAAAGAGAAAGTTAAACAAGCAGCACAGGTTCCTCTTGAGATGGTAAGGAAGGTTGATATGGGCATTCACGCTCAATCTCTGCACCTAGTGAGGTGCTGTCCGATATTAGGAAAATATTGCTACTCAACAGATCCTAGAAAAGTACTCTATCCAAGCAGAAAGCTTCCATTCCTGATTTCTTTCCAAGGAAACTGAAGTGTCCTTGCTCATTAAGTGCCTGATGTGCTGTGCTTTGAAAGTCG